ATGATATGTGATATGTTTGACATGCAAAATGAGAACTAACATGAAATACAACCCTGGTACACACATGGAAGATACGAGAAACATTATGATAAATGATATGATATGAAGGAAGACGCTAGCGGGGTTATAATGATAATGAAAATGGAAAAATGTTGGGAGCTCATACATTATTGTTTGTTCATGCATCGGGGGATATTCCTTCTCTTTCACGATAGTACAAATGCGTAGCTACGAGACAGAGAAACGATCATTATGTTTATAATAATGCTACTTGACGGTCGTTATTCCTATCAGATGTCTGGCATCAACAGCTACCAAAGAATGCTCACTCGACCAGAAAGGGACTTAGGAGGTGTGCGTTTGTGCGAACCAATTGGTGGGTTCATATTTGTACGTGTGAACTATGTGCAGCGAAATTAAGTACATATCCAATTGCCTGTTTAGGATAGCTGTCATAGGAAATTAAGTACTCATGAAATTGTATGTGTTAGTATATGACCCTAATAGGGGGTTGCTTACCGAGTATCTCTTAAAATACTCAAATTAGTACTACTCTTATTTTTCAAGTAAAGGCGAGGTATCCTTGTACGGCAAACGATAGTGTCGCGATTCATGACCATAGCACATGCATAGGATAGTTGCATCTATTTTGTTAGTCTTAGGTTAGGATGAATGCTTTTAATTTTAATGTTTATTTATTTCATTTAGTATTTCAACGTGTCGTATTAAAGATATTTTCAAACACGTAAGTCCATGGCGATGAAATTTATGTTTTATGAAGAATTGTTAATACTTATTACAGCATAAAAATGATTATGCAATTCTAAATAGAAATCTAGGGTTGTAATATCAATTTACTCTTCATATTCATCCTCGATCTTCCCAATTCTTATATTAAGCATATGAACTTATATGAATGAAACTTCTTGTATAATGTGTGTTAGGTAAGTGATTGTTGTAATCCTTTTACTTAGTAAGGTATTAACTTAAATAAGAGACAAATATGTTTTAGAACCAATCTACTTTAAATATTCTGCATAATCATTGCGGATGCTCTAACCATTAATTATAGATTATTTAGTTTCTTTTTTGTTGCACTTTTTCTACATTTCAATTTCTTTTTTGTCCTCTAGTCAAACGACGGTTGCTTGTTTAATTATAATTGTGTTTTTTCAATGATTTGAGAGTGCATTCGGTCAAACCAGCCATGTGACAAATATACTTAATATATCATATAACAATATAGATAAGTATATTTCTTTAGTTGTGACTGATATAGCAATAAACTAATAATTGATTTTAGTTTTTATTTTTTAATGGTTGCTTTCATAGTTGTTTATCCACTTTTGAAATTTTAGGAATATTATTAAATTAATATACTCCAAATCAAATAGATCATGCACTAGTGATATACTACATGATGTATGAACATATGTTATGTTTTATGTTTAAGAAAGTACAGTAACGATAGTCTATCAGAAATTGAATACCAAGTAGTGGATAAAAATGATCATATTTTTGAAATATTATTTCGTTTGACGTATAATGTTATAGTCGAATTGAAAAAAAAGAAGAGAGTATATATATATATATAGACATACATACATTTCACTTTGTCTTCTTTTTTTCATTTCCTCCTCTTCTTTTCTCAGATGAGAATTTTCTTCGGAACCAAACCTCCTAACGAACCTCTACTTTAGACCCAAATCACTAACTAAACCTGCCAAAACCTAACCTATACATTTTGCCTGGCCTAGTTCACATGTGAGAGGGAGGTAAGTAAGTTTACTATTGAAATGGCTTTAGGCTAGCTTGGACGAATTGGATGATTGGATGATGTTTAATTGACACATAAGAGTTATAGCTTATTATGTGTTATTACTTATGATATGATATACTTATGATCTATTCTGATGTAAGTACTTTTGGTATATTAGTTCATATATGTTATGATACTCTTGACGAACCATGTATCATAAGTATGAATAATATGTCATGCACATGTATCATAGGGAATTCATGTCATAAAAAGTATGGAAGTATGACGTGCATCATAACCATGTATCATGATTTAAAATGTGGGATCTCATTCATGTTGAATATCACAAGCATGAGTTAGTTTCCCAATATATGTTATGTTCAAACGTGTACACTATGTTCTGATACGCGCTTCTATCTTTCTATTGATTTCTGACAGAATGAGCATGCACTAGCTTGAGTCAGGTCTAAAAGGGTATGTATACGAGCTCATCTAATAGGTTTATACATGCATGCATGAACTATGTGTAGAGAAGTACTTTGCATTTAACTCTACTTTTTTGCGTAGAGTCCAAAGAATATTTACAAAAAGTAGATCTCACCCTAAACCATATTGCATCTGTATTTTCGACCACAATAGTGGAATCACTCACTGAATATTTTTAAATATTCAATCTACTTTTAACATTATTTAGGCAAATACAAGGACCTCTGGTACAAATGATGGCATCAGCTGACAATGCCATGGAATCAAATCTTGATCGTGATTTTTTTTTTTTTTTTTTGCATTTAAGTTATAGATTTATGTTAGAATAGGTCAACAATATTTTATTTTATAAATTTTGATAGAAGAGGTAGTTTTTCCTGTTTTCAACTATGTTTTTTTATTTTTTTAATGATGCTATTTATGTTTGAGATGAATGTATGAACACTTAAGTCTAAGGATATTTAGTAATAAATTATAGTTTACCATATAATTATATTTGATATTTTATTATAAGGAAAATATCTAAGGCAATTTATTGTTATTTCCATTTATTACTGTTTCCATATCATTGTAATTTATTTGATCATAAATAAGATAACTTTCACACCATTTAGGTATGGTGGATTAATAAAACATTCTCATGGTATTAGAGCTATTTTGGTTTAGCAACCTCGATCTTTTCTTTTCAATAACTTTTAAAATCTTCTACTGTTCTTCTCCACCACTACTGCTGGCTTTGATGCCACAGGGGCAGTCGTCATGGCTGTCACATGCAGAGCTGATTGATTACTCTTCGGCTCCACCCTTTTGACCTCCAAATTATCCTTAGCCATACTCTGTACATACAACCTCACCTTTTCCAAACATAACCTTTTTCATTTTCTTCCTAATTTTCCTTTCATCCTTCATCCTTCACAGAAACCCTAATCTTAGGATCTTCATCAGCGTTCTTTTCGAAAATATACAGAATCTCGATAAGTCCATTGACCTTATGCAGAGATTTACCTTTGGAATCTGGGTGCCGCACTAGCCTCTTCGCCAACCAAGTTGTCGCCGCCTTTCTTGCCAAAATTGGTTCCTTCGCCCAATGTGGCGACTCTTCCGGCTGCCCTTCTCGCCAAAATTGGCTCTTTCGCCTAATGTGGCGACTCTTTCGGCTTCAACATTGTCTTTGTCCCTTGCTCTAGGTTTCCCCTTCTACTTCTTAGGGTTAGACATATTCTCACCAGAGCCAAGGCAGCATCATCGCTAAGCGACAATCCCTCTTCATGGGTTAGACATATTCTCGACAAAGCCAAGGCAGCATCGTTACTAAGCGACAATCCCTCTTCATGGGTTAGACATATTCTCGCCGAAGCCAAGGCAGCATCACCGCTGAACGGCGATCCCTTTGCAATTTTCGATGGCCAAGAAAGTGTTTCTCTACGTCTCCTCTGAACCAAGTTGTTGACATCTTCATGAAAAGTGTTTCTCAACCTCTTTGAATTTTTCAGATCCAAGTTTCACGTTCGTTCAAATCCGACACTCAACTTGCGGTGGGGTGTTAAGGATATTTAGTAATAAATTATAGTTTACCATATATATTATATTTGATATTTTATTATAAGGCAAATATCTAATATTTGCGTTATTACCATAAGTATCTTTCCATTTATTGTTATTTCCATTTATTACTGTTTCCATATCATTGTAATTTATTTGATTATAAATAAGATAACTTTCACACCATTTAGGTGTGGTGGATTAATAAAACATTCTCAGTATGAAGTAAAAATCTTATTTTAAACGAAGAAGTATGTGAGTCGACCATCTGAATTGGAATGTTGTAGAGGTTGAGGATGTTATATTACCTCAGATTGGTAGATCTCAAGCGAGGTCTCAAAAACAAAGGATTCTCTGCGGTTGGAAAGTTGGAGAATACGAAGTATAGAAAATACTCTGGTTGTAAATGTGTGGGTATATTTTGTATGCATTTTATTAAGAGGGTGTGGAAGACAAAATACATATGTATGTTTGATATACATATCAAAATATGTAGATAAATAAGTGATATACCAATAACAAATCAATGATAAACGATTAAAAATAATATATCTAATATGAAGTGCATCATCAATGCATCATTGTAGTTTAGTATGAGGTTGTAACATAAAACTTATGGGAAAAAAGTTATCAATTCACGATACTGGTCATTCAATGAGATAGACCATCAGGTTCGCAATGTTAAAATCCAATAAATAACTCCTAGATTCCATTTTCACCATGTCTGTGACATATAAGGAAACTACTCATAATATACATTAGTTATGAAATTACTAAAAAAAACTAGAGAGAAAAAAACTCATTATAACTTGATATAATGAAAGCCTACAAGTTTCTTTTTCAAGAAAGCCTACAAGTTCCTTTTTCAAGTGTTTGTTGAAAATCTGTAGAGGAAGAAGAGGGTTTGAATGATACATACGAATTTTGAATGATATATACTAAGTTTGAAATTGCATCGTAAACCTACTGTTTATAGACTCGAATAGCACCCACTTATATTAGATGGAATTTGCACAAAAATTTACTAGATTTCTTATTTTATTTGTCTTAAAAATTTTCACTTTTCATCCAGTTCCGAGATTCAAAGCTTTAAAAGTCGAGTAATGATACTATAAAGGCAACGAAATAAGAACATATGGCCTTTCAACCCGTTCAATTTTACAGACAAATTTCATTGCGTTTTTATGCTCGGTGAAAATAAAACATCAACAAATAGAAATGTAAACCCTATTAATATTACATATGCATAAAGGCAAAGTCACCGAACACGTTTTGATAATATTAATTTTGATGTATTTTTGGTGCGGCATGGCAGTTCAGCTTGTATCAATATTAAACTGGATGACATTTTTAAACACACATATTTTTCAGATACAACAATTTCAAGTAAACTATCTGAGTTTCTGGCAGGAAGTTTTCTTAGTTTTGGCGCCTTCATCCATGACCGGTAGGCTTCTGCACTAAAAATCATTAAAATCTTTCTAGTTTAGGCCCCTGCACCATCCAAAGCCTCCAACCAACTACTTCAAGAATTCTCCATGGATTAAACCAAAAACAGATATACATCAACACAGTTGAGAAAGTGGAAACAAAATCCCAGACAAGGAAACCAATGTATTCAGGTAATAGGGGGAAGCCAAACAACAATTGAGTTGTAAATTATGGTGAGAAGGCATCTGACCTTTCTCGTAACAATGAGTTTATCAGTAATATCTTACGACGACTGCCCCCAACTTGCTATATTTTCAAATGCAAAAGGATCTAATGGAAGGCTGCAACTTCTTTCTTGAAGTGTTCGAGCAGGTTCTCGATACTCATCACTGAGTGATCACCCTTATCTCTCCCCCGTACACTCACCTGCCACAACACAAGGGTTCAATACTACAACATTTAACTAAACCGGATAAGACTCGATCAAGATCATTTTTTGGGAAATATAACATACATATATACACACACATATCTAGAAAATTTGTATGGGAAAAGTGTATAGGACCATTAAATTGGATAATTTTCGCCTTTTAAAGTAAAAAACAAGCAACGGAACAAACAAAGTCATTATAAGCGTTGAAACCTGTTCAGTGTTGGCCTCCTCCTCACCAACGACTAATATGTAGTTATATTGTGCCAACTGTGCTTCTCGCACCTGCAAGAAACCAAGATACCCGTTTAATCCATTGTATTGAGTAAACGGCATAAAATGCTACAATAATCAGACGTATTAATTTGTTTCAGACACATTTAAATTGCACGACGCATTAGGGCAGGCAACTCACTTCTATGTTGAAGAACCAGCGAAGTAAGAAATGTTTAATTCAATAAGGCACAAAAGCATGAACATGAATAACTAAAGATAAATATATTGAACTCACCTTCTTCTGAATCTTTCGGTCTGTTACATCCACATCAACATAAAAACCAGCATCATGAATTAAATCACGCACCTACAAAAATTAAAACAGCAAGATTAACCATGATCTATAAAACGTAACAGACAGATAAGTCATGTACTCAATTTCCTATGAATTGTATTACAGCATGTATTCATGTCAAGAGGCTCTCTACATTTACATTTAATGAAAATAAACTTATATGGAGTGAGCAAATCCAACAATATATTAGGCTGAAGATTTTGAAAACTAGAATTGTGACAGTGAGACATAGGAAAACAGATTCGTTGTAAGGAAATCAAACCAATAACACTTCAAGTTCTACCTTCAGTGCATAAGATTGAGATTTTTCTGATACAGGGCAAACAATTGCTTGACGTGGACTAAGCCAAAAGGGCCACTTCCCTTTGTAGTGCTCCAACAAAATAGCAAACATTCTCTCAACGGACCCCAAGATTGCTCTATGAATCATAACAGGTCGTTCCCTTTTGGCCTCATCCTCTGCTGAGTAATACAAATCAAAGCGAGAAGGAAGCTGGAAATCCAACTGCAAATAAATAACCCCACGTGTAAACGTTTTTGTTTGGTTTAAAGCCCACGTAACAAATGCAAACAAGATGCTACAAACATAAGTATATAATACCTGAAGGGTTGCACATTGAAATTTTCTTTTCAATGCATCGGATACACTAATATCTATCTTCGGTCCATAGAATGCACCATCTCCTTCATTGATCTATGTCAGATAATCCATTGGTCAAGGAGACACAAACCTCAAAAGGTAAATAAGCATAGAGAGCTAAAATGTTGTCAAAATAGATAGACATAAGATTTATACTTAAGAAGCATGGACAAGACACAACACGGACACAGTTTCACACTAATTTCTAAAAATGTAGGACATGGTCATACTGGAGACTCTTTTAATAATATGTCTGCATATATTGTCGTAATGATACTTCTACATAAATTAACTACTCAAATTGAACATAACCAGCATTGGTTTCATTAATACATAAACGACAGTGATAAGAAAGTTGTTGTCCAACAAACGTTACAATAGGAATATAAAGTACTCGATAGAAATTACATCTTTAATGGAGTGTAGACCATTGTTGATGGCGGGAGCGTGCAGAGCCGTGTAGCTGCAGGGGTGTCTTTTAGATCGAGCCTTCTTCCTTCTTGTCATTTTACTATTAATTTAAACCTACTTCTCAAAACTTGTGTATTTTTTTAAACCGTTTTGATTTGACTCTGCGGGTATTACCTTTAAACTACTTTTATGTCGGTTTTGAATGCATATTTAAATTTTAAACTCCTTGAGTCTCCTATTTTACAAAAGAAAAATTTACTGCCCTTTTTACCTTTGAGTGTATGTGGCAACCTGTGATCCGAGATATCGAAAATTTAACGACTTCCAATATTTGCATATCAGGAAATATCTAGGGGACTCCAATTCCTTGACCATTTATCTTCAAAAAATGAGCTCTAACCCTTGTAATAAGAACTTTTCTATGCCATGACAAAAATTACATTGCCATGAAATATTTCCACCTCCTTCACTCAATTGTTTATGCTTGGTCACATATTGCCAAAGTGGTTTTGATTCATCCTCAATATTAGACGAGATTGACAATATTAAGGAATGGTTGATGACAGACACTATTGCTAGAGACGAAATACCAAAATCTGACCTTTGCAGTGGTGGTCATTCAGCAAAGTGAATGGCGATCGTCAGCAGGATTTAATTGGAGACGAGAGGCAAAGGCTAATGGTTGAATAATTGGGGGAGTGTTGGACTTTATTTAGGGGAGTCAGAGAACTACATTGATAAAGAAGAAAATATTGAAAAATCACAACCGAACAATTCGAGGTACTTGGAACCTGCCTTCCTTGATATCATTCAAACCTAAACTAACGCAATAATTGCTTGCTCAATCTTTTACACTCTGCAGTATTTAAAAAAACCTCTCTTAAAAAAGCTCCTTAACTAGTTACTAACATACCCTTAACACCCTCCTAACAATATTCCTAACCATCTTAATACCATTCCTATCAAACATTTTATACAGAGAGTGTACCATTCCTATCAAACATTTTATACAGAGTGTACCATTCCTATCAAACATTTTATACAGAGAGTGAACTACAACAATTATAGAACGATGACTCTGTACTCATACTAGGGCTCAGCCTCACACAAAATTTTGTAAGTTTATGGACATACTTACAAACGAGAAGAGGAATGGATAATAGTATCACTTTTTCCTAAGCAAGTTCTTAACACCATGGATGGCTCTCATAACCCATATTTGGGCCGAGCCACATACCAAATTTGAGTGGGATATTGGTTTCAGAGGGATGGAATTCCCATAGAGGGGCTAAGATAGTTTCTCAACAAGATTTCATTTGACAAACAAAAATATTTAAACATACTATTCAAAATTGGAAGATTATGATCCCTTTCGAGTTGAGGCTTTTAAAAGAAGCAAAATTTATTTGTAATTTGTACGATGAGTTGTGAGGTCTTAGGGCGGGGACTCAATGTAGCTAATGGGTCTGTGTAAATGATTCTATTGCTGTGCCACAGCACGCCAGTGTGAATATAAGAGAATGTGGGTTAATTGAAATTCTAGGGTCATTTCTTTTTCCTAATATATAAAACCTCGAATCAATATTTTTTTATCTTTTTTTATGGTTATTTTGAATAATAAAACAAAACCAACTAAAAGTCAACGTTATGAAAGTAGAAACAAGATATAATTTTTTCTTATTCGAACCAAACCAGTCAATTTTGACTGGTTCAATTTGGATTGCTGATTCACCAATTTTTTCACTCCAGTAGATTTTCACATAATCTAACACTAATGAAGTCAAAGGTTTCTACGTAATTACGACCACTTTTTTCCCTTGTTTCCATTAAATAACATCTTCACATGGCTCATTGGATGAATCTTCAAAAATTATTAGAGATAGCAACAATAGAATGAAACAAACATAGAGATAACTCTTTGGTCTTCAAACTTTCATTTCCCGCGGCTACCAAAATGTTATCGCTGGAAATTTACTTAAAAAGCCCTTTGAAATTGCAAGTAAAAGACATGCTTTAAGAAAGCATATTAAGAAAATAGAGCACAATATGATAATGTAAAGTGACAAAAAAAGATAAAAAAAATAATAATAAATCAGGACCAAACTGATTTATAAGCAAGATCCACAAGTAGTGGCATAAATCTGCAAAAACTTAAAAGATGGAATGGGGTGTAGAGAGAGAGAGAGAGGAAAGATTCTATGAAAAGGCTAAAATTTATTCATAAAGTAGCTATGTCAAATGCAGAGAATTCAAATTTAGCGAAATTCAATCAAGAGCGTGAAGAAATTTAGCTAACACTAGGAAAAATGGTTAAAAATCAATTAAAGTGAATTCAAATTCGTGAGGTTCATGTCATTGTACTAGCATAGCAGTTAAGTGCATCAAAGATGAACATAATGCAGATTCAACCACAATTACAAGTACCTGCCAGGGCTTCCCAAACTCATTCAGTGCTTCTGTAAGTGCAGCTTCAGCTTTCTCCCATGTTTCCAAATCTCCAAGGTATTTCTCTGGCCTCTACAACATCATAATAAATACTAATAAGAAAAGCAGTGAGATGTTAAACATGAACCTGTCATCCAACTGGTAAAGAGAAAAACGACATACAAATTGAGAGTTGAGTAGAGAGGAGTTGATAATGTTATAAAGATTCTGGGGCATATCTTTAGATAAATGGACATAGTAATCATTAAGATACATACAAGGACTAGGACTCTAATAAGCCCAAGGTTAAAAGATTCTATCAAAGGAAAGGAAGCAAAGGTAGAAAATGTGAAAAGTGCAAGAGGAGTATCAATGTTATAAAGATTCTGGGGCACATCTTTAGATAAATGGACATAGTAATCATTAAGATACATACACTGACTAGGAGTTTAATAGGCCCAAGGTTAAAAGAATCTATCAAAGGAAAGGAAGCAAAGGTAGAAAATGTGAAAAGAAAGTGCAAGCAGGAGTGTATTCTTAATGGTGAAATAAGGGTAGAAAGTGCATCATGGAGAATACTAGGCAGATAAAGTGCGAGGTGGCATCTATCTTCTGTTTCCCTCTTTTTGGTAAGGAGAGCATAAAGAGGAGCTCGTCAATTATTACCCTAGAAACTTGAATATTTATCTCTAAAATCAATGAGAGGCTACAACTGAGAAACGTTAAGCTGTAGTAGAGATTAAAGCCGGGGGTAGAGGTGATTGTTCATGGATAAGATCTCCCACCCTACCTTTTATACTAGCAATAAGTCAATGGTATTTGCCCTTCATCAACAAATGAGAAAAAGAGACGCAGCCATCATCAATGTGCTCAAGGAACGTCAAATGAAGCAAGTGGCTAATGCTCATTAAATGGGATGGTGAATTCAAGGTTAATGAATGCATGTATCCTAAGCTGCATCCTCATCAATGGGCCTCTATGGCAAAGTATAGTGAGAATATTTGCTAGAGGATTTGCTAGAGGAGGGCAGCAGCCTACAAGCTTGATTTGCTAGAGGATTCAACACACACCATATTTTTCACGTATGGGAACTTCACCATCAGAACTTACAAAGGAGTTGGTGCTGAATGCTAAGCCCAGGAACAAAGACACACTCGATGCACCCAATGGTCAAGAGAGGCTTACCAAACTAGTAGGAAGTTCACCAGCCAGGGCAGCACGAAAGTCTTACAGCCTTTTTTTGTTCCACATTACTGAGAGTTTAGCAAGAAAAAGTGAAGCAGGGTGGTATTTTTTTAGCAAACTAATTTTGGTAAGAAGAGCATAAGGGGAAGCTTTGGAATTATATCTCTAAACTTGATGATTTTCTTTCTAAAATTGAAGTAATAGAAGTACACTAGAGTCCGCAGCTCTACATTAGTGCAAGGACATGTAAAAGGGGGCAAAACAGAAACACAGTACAACTTATACAGAAAGTCAACGTAAACAAGGATTGGTGTATTAGAGCCGAAGTTTTCATTCTTTTTATAAGAAAAATTATCATGCTTTTCAATAACCAAAAACTAGCATGAATATAAAGGGGGCAAAAAACAGACACAATACAACTTATACACAAAGTCAACGTAAACAAGGATTGGTGTGTTAGAGCCAAAATTTTCATTCTTTTTATAAGAAAAACTATCATGTTTTTCAATAACCAAAAAACTAGCATGAACATAAAGGCAATATAATTTCAAATTTGAAACCTAGATTGACAAGTGACCCAACATTTCTAAATATTTTCACACTACAATAATTTTGTACAAGAAAATAGTTTCATCAAAACAAGAATGATGAAGGGAAACTAGGATGTGTCCTCCCTAACAAAAAATGCATCAGATATCATTACTGGAATTCAAATTAAGTGAAGGTAAGGACAAAGAAATATTCTTTAACTGCATTCTTTACTAAAATAAATACATATGCTTTGTCATCAATTTTTACAGAAAAATCATTTCCCTGTTACACCTCAAACAAAAAAAACAAACCAAAAAAAAAAAGGGGGAAAAAAAAAAGAACGCTAACATACCGTTGATAGCTTCAGCTCAAATGTGAACCCAAAAATGTCATAAGCATATTGGATGAACTCTAGGACTCCCCTGACTTCATCTTTTATCTATATAATGAACACAAAACATAAGAAAAGAGATGTGGATCTTAATAATCTCACAAATAATACTTGTTGCATATAAATTAAATAATATTAACCTGTGACTCCCTACAGAAGATATGAGCATCATCCTGCAAAAATGGACTGAACTTATTAAGTAGATGGTGTACGCATATAGAAATACCAACCAAATTAACATACCCAAAGAACCAAGCTAAGGAAACCGTATGAAACCTATATAATAAGATGCTAACAAAATTATATCCAAGCACAATTTCATAAATACAACAGCATTTAGGAATACCTGCTGAAATCTTCTCACACGAGTCAATCCAGTCAGTGCCCCACTAGCCTCATTACGGTGCAAGACCCCAAAATCAGCTAACCGAAGAGGAAGTTCTGCAGATCAATAGTAAACATTAAAGAAACAATTGACCAATAGAAAAATCAAGAAAAAAAAAGATAAATGAACAAATTCACGAAATGTGACAAGACTACAAAGATTTACACTGAGTGTCAATGAGACTGCGGACATTACACTCACCAGAATAATTTTTTTTTTTTTTTTTAAATACTGAGAAATTTTACATATTAACATGGATGCACCCAAACTTACCCCTATAAGAACGAACTCTATGCTGAAACATCAAACAGTGGCCAGGGCAATTCATCGGTTTCAATCCAAATTCCTGCTTTTCAATCTGTACAAGAATTTAGAAGCTCACGCTGCCAACCTTATCCATTCACAAAGTCTTTACAATGGATATACAAAAAAAAAATAAAGAAAAATAAAAAATCCAAAATCCAAAATTTGCTTTTCCAGATTATAGCAAATCTTTCGATACGTTTGATCATCTCTCTTTTTTATTGCTTCAACTGTGTGTTTTGTTTGCCTTCAAGCAGAAAACTATTGATGACATTGTTGTACAGTTAAAGACTTCATCCCTCGCATTTCTTTGGCTAGCAATTTTCTACAAGGATGATCCTTAAGAGGAAATGTGATCTCTCAGGAATATTTTTCTGGAAAACGATTAGCAAAAAGTTCATCATATTTTCTCAACTTCCCTCAAGGCTCTGATAGTGCAATTTCTTTTTTTAGTTTCTAAATGAGTATACTCTCTTCAGGGACTTACTGTGATTATATTTCGTTTGATATTCAAATCAATTGGAAAGCCTTGAATGGCTCTGGCTAGTTTGAAAGTCTACTTTACCTCCTGAAATCTCTTTTGGTTTAATATGCAGGTTCCCTTTTTAAAAAAAATACGCATAAAGCCAACGTCTAGATATTATTTCAAGGCCGAACCTCAAATAAGAACATATTCTCCTTGTAATTTGCAGCATGACCAGACGTTTCCCATAGTTGCATATTGAACATATTTGGTGACACAACCTGCAAAAGAACTGAAAGTGTTAGGTATTAAGATATATCTATGAATTACAATTCTACAAGGACCAATAACATTGGATGTCAACCTCTTCATAACCTCGATCCCTATATTGAGCTCGCATAAACTCCATCAGTTTGTGGTAGATCCGAGCCCCATGAGGAAGGAAGAACCAGCTTCCAGGGCTACAATCGATATGACAAGAGGATTTCAAGAACAGTTATAGTCACAGGTGGCTACACTTATGAGTTAATCAAGCACTTACCTAAGTGGATGACAAAAGAAAAGCTCCTGCTTTGTACCTAGTAATCTATGATCATACTTCTTTGCCTCCTCAAGCATATTGATGTATTCCTGCACAAACACAGACTTCAAAATAAGATAGTGCCAACAAAAAGAAAGGAATAATATGCATGGAAAACCTTTTTAATGCAATATGCATGTGAAACTGAACTTTTCCGATTGTAATCAAATCAACATATTAATTTTCAATCACAACCTAAGTTCAACACAACCTCGTTGAATCAGCAAAAATATGTGGTTTATAAGAACTAACATAAAGAAATTATAAAAAGCACCTTCAAACGATTTTTATCAGGATAAGATATCCCATACACTCTTTGTAGGCTTTCACGATCTTTACTGCCCCTCCAATAGGCCGATGATGCCTGAAATTTCAAATTAAGTATGACAGCTTCATAAATAAATATCAAAATGACAAAAAAAACACAGAATAAAGGGAAAGAAGATAAGGCATCTCCTCCCGAGCACCCAAAAAATGGATCTAATAAACAACAACAATCAAAGTTGGAAACACTAGAAAGAAAAGTTATTTGTGTAGGTTTTCTTAAGAGAGGATGCACTGTACAATCTCCCAAAAGCTACAAAAATCTCCATTTTCTTAGAATTTTGATTGATCCTTTTAATCTATAAATCAACCTAATGACAGCTCTGGTAGAGCTCTTTTAAATGATATAGATTTTCCCTTAAACCACCAATCCGAGAACTCCAGAAATGCCATATTTAAAACTTTGTGTATACACCAAGTCATTCCGAACGTGTAGTATAATCAGGATCAATGACAGTTGAATTTATTTGTTTTGAAAAACTTAGCTAATTGTTCTTCCGACTATATATCCCAGATAAGATTTAAACATTACATTCAGATTTGAGTAAACAAGAAAATAAATAATTACCTTCAGGCATGCAAATGCCTTCACAAATGATGTATTTGGTATGTGAGGACCACGACATAAATCAACCAAGGGACCACATCTATAAACAGTGATAGTCTTGTCTTCTGGCAAATCATTGATGATTTCAACCTGATTAAAATCATACATAAATAGGAATATTAGGGCTTCAATCCCCAATCATCAAATGAACTGCAAATTTTATTCAATTGCCTTGAATTTATTGTCAGAAAAGATTTCAAGAGCTTGTTCCCTTGAAACTTCAATGCGCTCAAATGGTTGTTTCTCCTGAAAATTAAAGAAAAATAGATTGAATTATTCCGCTGACAACAATAATACTCTGTAATGATACACTCATGCATGAAACCAGATCAGTGAATACTTTATTGGGAAGAATCTTGCAGCAGTTTATTTTCTAGCTAAAAAGACACTAATACAGTTAATAAATAGATGATAAGCAAGCACTAACAAAGTTGAGGAAGCAAAAGATCTGCACTGTAGTTTCTAGCTTCTCATACATTTTCACATCGTTCGACAATTTTATTACAAGAAAATATCAATTGTCAATTATTGATTCACAACTAATCCTAAAACTTTGAACAACCAAAGGGATAGTATACTTGCACTGAATCTTTACACTCTTTATAACAAATGAAACTAAAGTTAACTAGGGTTAGGATGTGAACTCTCTAGCACAGTTCTACAGTAGGCAAAATTGGTCACAAAACCTTGGCTGAGCCTTTTTCATATGAGAAAGACAGTGAAATTACAAGTAACACCACTCCTCTCCCTTCCAAGGAAAGATAATAATGAAAGAAAGAAAAAAATAGTCATGAGAATTCTTTATATATATAACTATGAACATACTTCTTCCACATGTAAATTCATGGAAAAACATAAAAACCAGATTTTAATTATATGAAATAAGTGGGGTCAACTCCTTATCAAGAAAAATAAAAGAGGACAATACCGATACAGCCTTCAATGCACCAGACTCAATTTTCTTGAAGTGATCATCATTCAAGCCCAAATCATCATAAAAAGCATCATAATAGAATCCCTGACACGGAAGTTCAATTAGTCTATAGGAAACAAAACTGCAAGCATAAAAATTAGAGAAGGTACATACAGTGTTTATACGGAACAATTTATTGTTGTACGAAATTTATAAAAGAATGTGACAATAACACCTCCCATTGGACAAGAGAGAAGCATGACTATAAGATTAAAAAAGAAGTCGCAAATTACGCCAAGATGTGGCTAGGTCAATAGCATTCTAAAAAATTTATTGTAGTCTCGTTCTTTTCCCCAAAAAAACCTTTGATTTCTTTCCATCCATATTCAAAGACACTCATCCTTCTTGATGGGGCTGCACTGTTCTTTTTAGGAGACGATTGAGGATTTGGATCAAATCCTTTGGAGATATGGGTTTACTCACTCAATTCAGAACTCTTCCCTGGAGATGCTTGGTGTGTGGCTTGCTTGAAATAAATAATATGAAATGATCAAAACCAATATATATGAACCCTAGAGTTTCATACTTTCCAGTTGTCTTTCTTCCTTTTAGTTTTTGTCGTGGTAGACCCATAACCCTCTTTCCACCAGTAGCAATTTGATCTCCCTCCACCTTCATCGCTCCCCTCACTAGGCTACATCGCCCACTATTTCAATACCAACTCACAATCCAATAGGTAAATTTCAACTCCATGTGCATTTGTAATAAGGAGAATTAGTGTTGTACCAATAACTTTTAGCATTGTAACTAAAATGAAACTCAAATTTGGTGCATCCGCATGGGTCAACCCTCTCTCATTCGTGACATTTTCACTCTCCCTCTCTGATAAACTCACTGTCATTTGAACTCTCCCTCTCGCACAAACCCATCTCTTTCCAACTTTTCCCCTCACACCATCCCCATTGAGCTAAGATTGTAAACCGAACCAGGCCCAAAATAAATATTTTGGCTATTTTCACCTATTTAGATATTGGTTCAGTTTCACACATCAATAAATCAAAGTCAGCAGTTAAACGCACATTCTAGCCAAAATATGAAGGAACTGAACTATGATCTCCCTAACTACAAAGGAGGGTTCATCTACACTTCACCACAAAGATAATCCAGTCTCCAATCACTAGATAAGTTGGGTTTCTTTTTTTCCTTCCAATCTAAGGATAGTTTATCCGATTAAGACACATATCCTCGACCTAAAAGTTCAAAAACCCCACCCCCCACAGGCCACATGTTGCTGAACCCAGAAAAAAGATATATTCTAGATATTTTTCTCCAAAAGATGTTGGACGTTCTATCAAAAACAGGTCAAGGTCCTTCACCCTTGCTTTGGAATGTGACATTTGATATTGTTGGAAATTCTAAAAGAAGCAAGGTTCTTTTGATGGTTCCTTGGCACACAAAGATCAATTCTCTTGATAAAATTCAAATAAAAATTGCTCTCTCTCCTTTATTATAAGAAACAAGAATACATTATGCACATAACCAAAAAATACAGCCTAAGGGCAAGAGAAAGAGAGATCCCACTTCTACACCAAAAGACTAGAAAAGAGATTTCCAATTTGATAAGATGATGGCCAAGGTGTAATTGAAAAAGAATCAAAAGAAGTTGACTTATGCTCAAAAGTTCAATGATTTCCCTCGAGCAAAATTATCTTGCCTATGAAATAAGGAAAAGAAACTTCATGATTATATTTTCTCAAGTTTGTTTTCTCCAACGAAGTATTCGCCAAAATCTATCAACATTCCAATTTGTGATGCTGTCTCCTCCAATGACTTAGGATTTCTTGTTGAGCAAGTTTTTTGGACATAACTTCCAGATCAGGCCTAATAATTTGTAAGTAATGTTTTTGCTGCTAACATGCATTCAGTTTAGCTTCAACAAAATAGAAATATCTTTTAGAGGAAGGATTTAGAAGTTCACATTTGGTGGACTGTATTATTTTTATAACTTCCACATTTAAAGCCAAGAAGATTGCAAGCTAAGAAGATATACGTGCATCCAAATGCTTTTGTGGAAGAAACTATACGGGACAACCCTAACCACTTGCAATTGGATGGAGAATTAACAAGGAGCAATAGTGCACTACTTTCTTGTCTATTTTCAATATCTTAAATGGTAGTCTTTGAGAACCACTTATACACCTTTTCTCATGTTTGGATTGTCATCATATAAGATGTTGATCGCAAGTCTGCCTCCATAGTTGGGTGTTGCCACGGTTGAGATATGATTCAAAGTATTCAAAATGACGATATAATTTAAAGTAGTTGAGATATGATTCAAATATTCAAACTACCAAGATTTTAGGAGATTGTTAGTAGATTTGCATTTATCTAGATTTCCATGATTTACTATTCCTAGTCCAGTGTATAAGCTATAAATACTGGAATTGGGTAGCCCTCTAAGCATTGAGTTAGAAAATATTAATAAAGCACTGCAGTTTCTATCTATTCCTATCTATTCCTATCTTTTTCACTATCCCTTTTTCCAACAATTTTGGTATCAGAGCCAAGTTCGTTCGACACTAGGGTGAGTGATTATTTTCTTTCACAAAACAAAGATGGCAATAGCTGGTTTTTCTTCCTCTGCACCGTTGTTACCAATCTTTAATGGTGAGAAATATGAGTGGTGGAGCATCAAGATGAAGACCTTGCTCAGATCGCAAGAGCTATGGGACTTGGTGGAGCACGAGTTTGTTGATGTATTAGAACCCACAATAGAAGAAAAGGAGAGACTAAGAGAAACCAAGAAAAACGATGTCAAGGCTCTATTCACTATTCAGCAAGCAGTTCATGAGACTATCTTCTCACGAGTTGCAGCAGCAACCACATCAAAGCAGGCATGGTCAATTCTACCGAAGGAGTTTCTAGGAGATTCAAAGGTCATGACAGTGAAATTGCAATCTCTAAGACGTGATTTTGAAACTCTACTCATGACGAATGGCGAATCAATTGCTGATTTTTTGTCCAGAGCAATGGCAATAGTCAGTCAGATGCGTACCTATGGAGAGAAAATTTCAAACGAAACAATTGTTGCAGAGGGGTTGAGAAGCTTGACTCCAAAGTTTGACCATGTGGTGGCTGCCATAGAAGAAGCTAAGAATCTATCCATACTCTCTGTTGATGAACTAATGGGCTCGCTTCAAGCTCATGAGGTAAGAATCAATAGAGCAGCAGAAAGGAACGAAGAAAAGGCACAACAAGTGAAAGAGACAACCAACAACGAAAACAACAAAAGAGAAAATATCCATTTAACAGGTAGAAATCGTGGAAGAGAAGGATTTCGCAGCTTCCATGGTGGTCGTAATAACAGGGGTAGATTGAGAAGTGATGGACAGAGACAATTCAATGAATAAAGGAATGTCATACAATGTTACCATTGCAGAAGGTATGGGCACACAAAATTTTTGATTGTTGGTATAAAAATCAACAAATGAATTTTGCATCAGAGAATGAAGAAGAAGAAAAGCTGCTTATGGCGTGCATGGATACTAATCCGAAAAAAGGTAACTTATGGTTTGTTAATAGCGGATGCTCGAACCATATGACAGGCACCAAATCCTTATTCAAAGAGCTTGATGAGACGCAAAAAATTAAGGTGCAACTTAGAAATACAAAAGAGATGCAAGTTGAAGGAAAAGGTACAGTGAAAGTCGAAACCAGTCATGGTAAGATAAAACAATTAGATAATGTTCAATTTGATTGTTGGTATAAAAATCAACAAATGAATTTTGCATCAGAGAATGAAGAAGAAGAAAAGCTGTTTATGGCGTGCATGGATACTAATCCGAAAAAAGGTAACTTATGGTTTGTTGATAGCGGATGCTCGAACCATATGACAGGCACCAAATCCTTATTCAAAGAGCTTGATGAGACGCAAAAAATTAAGGTGCAACTTGGAAATACAAAAGAGATGCAAGTTGAAGGAAAAGGTACAGTGAAAGTCGAAACCAGTCATGGTAAAATAAAACAATTAGATAATGTTCAATTTGTACCTGATTTAGGGTACAATTTATAAAACAATTAGATAATGTTCAATTTGTACCTGATTTAGGGTACAATTTATTGAGTGTTGGACAATTGATGACTAGAGGACATTCAGTTCTATTTGATGACAACACATGTGTCATTACACATAAGAAATCAGGCCATAAAGTTCAAAATGCCATGACTTCAAATAAGATGTTTCCACTTGATGTTTCTAACATGGAGGATTTTGTTCTTACTGCTAGCACAAAAGATGACTCAACATTATGGCATCTCAGATATGGACATCTTCATATGAACAGCCTGAAAATACTCAAGGATAAAGGTATGGTTTTCGGATTACCAAGAATTGATTCAACTAATTTGTGTGAAGGATGCATTTATGGCAAGCAGACTAGGAAGTCCTTTCCTGTTGGAAAAGCTAAAAGAGCTTCACATTATCGAGAACTAATTCATGCTGATTTAAGTGAGCCAATGCAAACGAAGTCCTTGGGTGGGAGTATATACTTTTTACTCTTCATTGATGACTATAGTTGCATGAGTTGGGTTTACTTCCTACCACATAAGTCAGAAACTTTTCAGAAGTTCCAGATTTTCAAAACTATGGTGGAGAACCAAAGTGGCTGTCACATTAAAGTTCTTCACACAAACAGAGGTGGTGAGTTCATATCTAAAGAGTTCAATCTGTTTTGTGAAGAAGAGGGCATCCAAAGGGAGTTAACAGCTCCCTACACTCCAGAACAAAATGGAATCGCTGAACGAAAAAATCGAACTATTGTGGAGATGGCAAGAAGTATGTTACAAGCAAGGAGATTTCCAAACCAATTTTGGGCAGAAGCTGTAGCAACATCTGTTTATCTATTAATCTCTCACCAACAATGGTTGTTATGAATCGAACTCCTTATGAAGCATGGCATGGAAGGAAACCATCTGTAAGTCATTTACAAATCTTTGGTTGTGTTGCTTATGCTTTGAAACATCCTCAAATTCGTCAAAAGCTTGATGAAAAATCTAAAAAATGCATTTTCATTGGCTATTGTACTCAATCAAAAGCATATAAATTATACAACCCCATCAGTGAAAAGATTTTAGTTAGAAGGGATGTAATATTTAATGAAAACGTGAGTTGGGATTGGAGTAAAGAACAGGAGCAACAAAAGATTACCGTTGAAGTTTCCCCAAATGAAGAGACAAGGGTCAACTCCAGTGCATCCACTGCAACACAAAGTGTGTCAAATTCATCATCTTCAGCATCACTGAACAGCAATTCTTCTCTTGAAGAACTTTCAGATGAGACACCTCCAAGGAAATATAAATCTTTAGCTGACATATATGCATCATGTCAATTTGCTCTTACTGTTTCAGACCCTATGAATTATGAAGAAGCAACTGAAAAAGAAGACGGGAAGAAAGCCATGGCAGTAGAGATGCAGTCCGTTAAGGAAGATAGAACATGGGATATGGTTGACCTACCAAACGAAAAGTTCTATGGAGATTTACATGGGACATGCAGCCCATTGCGGTGGCCTATTTATCAGTTTGATGGAGATTTACAAGAAGAGGTTTATAAAACACCGCTAGAGGGATTCATAAAGGAAGACAAAGAAACAAAGGTATACAAGCTGAGACAGACATTGTACGGGTTAAAGCAGACATACTTACAAAGGCCTTGTCAAAAGAAAAGCTCTGTACTTAACATCTGCAACTTTGAATCAAGGGGGAGTGTTGAGATATGATTCAAAGTATTCAAAATGAAGATATGATTTAAAGTAGTTGAGATATGATTCAAATATTCAAACTACCAAGATTTTAGGAGATTTTAGGAGATGGTTAGTAGATTTGAATTTATCTAGATTTCCTTGATTTACTATTCCTGGTCTAGCATATAAGCTATAAATACTGGAATTGGGTAACCGTCTAAGCATTGAGTTAGAAAACATTAATAAAGCACTGCAGCTTCTATCTATTCCTATCTATTCCTATCTCTTTCACTATCCCTTTTCCAACAGCCACCCCATCCTTCGAAGCATGATGTTCGCACCATTGCGTTGATGCTCTTAATAGAATCACAGTCAACCATATGGATTATTGCTGATTTCCTCAAAGCTTGAGAAGAAACACAATTTTGTTCTTGAAACTTCTGATCAATATTTGGGCTTAATACAATGGACAGAAGTTGGTTTATAATAATCCTCACACGGGTTTCCTATAATAGAAGCATCTAGCTAAAGAACAAATGGAATTTAGGCAGCCAAAATAATAGAACTTCACATTGCTGAAGAGTATGGATGAAGATTCAGCAAAAGTTGCTGAATGACCACCGTCCAAATAACATGGAGTTGAGGCCATAAACAGGAAAAGTGCATTGGCAAAGGACCTACGAAAGAGAGAGAAGAAAGGTATATGCTAAAAATGGACAAGAAGAGAACTAAGAAAGCGAAGTTGATTGAGAGGATGAAATATGGACACTGAAAAAATCACATGGAAGATGACAAGCTTCTGAATGCAACTAGGCAAAGAGGTTGAAAGAAAGAGTCTCCTATTGAAATTGGTACAGAATTCAAGTTCTTTCTGAATTATTTTCGCTTGCATTTCTAGGCAACAGAAGAGAGAGAAGGGAAGACAAGCTGAAATTGCAGCTGGACTATTAGAGGCATTACCAGAGAGGAGTACCAGGTTAATTTGGCAGATGTAGTGCTCAATAGTCGTTTAAATCCTTTTCTCTATATTCAACATCCTAAGTATAGCAACAATATAGGCAAATTCCTTTAGCTGTTGGACAACCAAAATAAAAAATGCTTCCCACTTTCAGAATATCTCGTCATCCATCTCTGACTTTAAAATTGTTTGGTCAACCAAATATGGATCATCACGAATAGATATAAATATGCATACCTCTCCTCTAGTGGTGCAGGGTCCAATGCAGAGCTTGCAACCATACTCCATCTCGAGCGACTAAACCAGGAAAAACAATACAGGTGAAATGGTGTAATGAATTGTCATCAATGAGTTCAGATTGAATGCACGAGAATACATGGGGCTATCAACCTGTCCAAGTATATGAGCGCTAGAATGCCAAAATGTGTCGCGCCCTTCATCGCTTTCGAAGGTGAACAGCTTAAGCTCACAGTCGCCTTCTAGCGGCCTACACATGTCCCATAGAGCTCCATCAACTTGGGCAATCAAAGCATTCGCAGCCAAGCTTTTCGAGATTTCTCTTGCTACATCTATTGGTGCTGTTTGCCATTTCTTACCCGCCTTCACCGTCCCATCCGGCAAGGTGATCCTAAAAAAGCAAAGAACAAAGTAAAATTCGGATTTCATGAACTCAAGCATAGGTTATCCAATTCCACATATGGGGCCGTTATACTAACTCGATTGGATCAGAGGGAAGAGAACGACGGTCGGCGAGCAGCTTTGCTTGTATCGACTGAAAAAGCTGGATGCGTTTAGGAATGACAGAATTGAGATAGTGCTCATCTTTAGGGTGCTGCGCCGCCATTGAAGCTTGTGTCCCCGCCGTTGGTTGTGCAACTGAGGAGCAGAGGCGGAGAGAAGTTGTAGATAGGAGAGAAGTGGAGGATGAAACTGCTTTACGGCCAATTCGAGAGCATAAGCATAAGAATAGCATATGCAGATGAATTTCGAGGGTTTAGGAAGGGGTTAGGGTTTTACCAACAATACCTTCCACCTAGGAATGTTTGCCTTGGGGAAAATGATGGCCTGCAAAAGAGATTGAGAGTGAGAGACGAGAAAGTCAACGTGAGAGAGAGACGGAGACGAATAGTCAGAGATAGGGTTTCAATGAGAAGAGACGCGGAATGCGTTGAAGAGGGCACAGGCGCGCCTTTCACGCCGAGGAATGAAGCAATGAATGTCAATAGAGATACGCGGGCGAGGGTTTCTCACTAAGGAAATTTAACTGTAGCGCATCGGATTCTCGTGATTAAATGCCATATTTATTCATCTTATACATGGAATATTTATTCGTTGGTTGCTATGCTCCTTTGAAAGTTGTTCACTTGATTTATTGTGACATATAATTACTTATCAATGTCATAATGAAATTTGTGCTAATAGTATTTTGTGTGATATCAAATTCAGAAACATAGTTGTAAACTTTGTTATCCGGTTCTTATGACAATGGATATCAATACTATGTCCTTTGTCTTTGCTGCTGTTTTTCTCGGAATCGTGGTCGTACATTATCAATCGTGCGGTGTCATGATTTTGACACGCTAATTAAAAGGATTAAGAAAAATTCAAGTCTATTCATATTTTCCATCCGTATTCATAATTTTGCCAACTAAACAAATTTATGCAGAATCCAAACTTGCTTAGTCACACACGCTGTCTATACATGCATGTTCATTCATCTACAACTCTAGTCGACTTGCCTTTACACTAGGCTAAGTCGTCCAATTCAACTTTTCTTCTACTCTAGGCCAAGGTCTCTCATACGCAACGTCACATCTCATCATCATCTTGGTTCCCAACAACATGACTCGTGCATCGTGATGTCGTCACATGTCTCGGGATAGCTTGACCATCTTGGCTTGCTCAAACATGTCTATCGAAACCGACCCATGTGTCACTCATCTTATTGAGACATTCTGAATATCCATCCATCTAGATTCTCATTGGGGAATAAATCCCCCAGTGTTCATGTCATTTCATTTATGGACTCCATACCAGATAATGAATGCATATACCAACCTCCGACACATGGCCTAGGGCACAATGTCGACATATTCGTGTTGTCTGACACTGTTTTTGAAAGACCCATTCAAAAGAAGATGCTCGTCTTACTATGCTCGCCCACGATATGTGTCACATGGTATCTCGCTTAGGCCACAGGGCTCAAGGGTAGTGGGGAGCAAACACCATGTCTCCCTCTTATAGTAACTTTTGAGGCATTTCTAATCTTTCTATAGCAAATGTGATTTTGACTAGCAATCTTGCAGCCTTTTGGAGCATCCATCAGGTGTCTGATTGATACCTTAATTTGGTGAATTTTCATCTTTCATATAGACAGACTTAACTCCAAAGTCGCATGTCAAAACTCATATCGAAACTCCAACTTCTAAGGTTATGGCTTGGGAACTTACCCTAGCTCTCTTTGAGCTTATCTTCGGTACTCATGTCACCTCGTTCTCTCTAACCGTGCTTATGCCTCAATTTTTCTTTTAGGCACACTCTTCTTGGTGTGTTAGATGATGCATCTCCTCCTTAGGCGCATTATAGCACTTGTTTGTCTCAACCCTCATGTGGCCAGATGGGTGCCACTTGAGGGTCGTCATCTTATCGGTCTGCGTGTGGAGGTCACAACCTACTATCTTCATAGCAGGGTTGTGATACTCTGCCCCACTTAAACTAGTCACCGTCCTCGCTGACTTACTCGGAGATACAATTGCATTGTGGATTATGACACTCTTCCCCACTTAATCTCGATATCATCTAGATGACGATCCAAACATTTGACTAGCTGTTAACTTGACCCACTAAATTTTTTCGTGCTCTAGAATGAATATAGAAACTTGTGTACTATTTATGGGTTATCCCACTAATGAACCTTCTCTCAATCTCCAAGACACAGAGCATAAGCACGAAAAAAATACAATTGTCCAATGGTTGTGGGTTATCCCACTTGGGACCTAACTCCCATACTCAACCTGGAACTCAACAGATAAACCATGAAAAAACTAGTATCCACTTTTCTTCACCTAAGTAAGGGGGAGTGCGCCCAAAACATTGCCGCTTTGGGCTCAACCATCATATTCTATGAGTTGCACATAGATCTGTATCACGGCATTTTCTCATCATTACCACATCCCTTTTACAGTAGCAAGATGAGCTTGTGTATCACGACCTTTTCTTGTCACAGTCACAACCCTTTTAGGAAGCAAGGTCTATAACCTTGTAACATATTCCCATGTTGGCACTACACTTCAGCCAATTTCTTAATTGACCATCTTTATGTGGAAAACGCTACACTGATACTTCTCTAGTATTGTTACAACTTCATTCTCTATGTCGCTCACATCTTGTCTAATGCTCTCTTCTCGAGCGAATGCTTGTCTCAACACTCTTGTGAAGCCACCCACCTTAGGCACTATACAATGGCTTAAGGAATACATGTGTGTTTGGTTCTTGGAGCACTTCTAAGAGGTAAGCAACCTTACTCAACTTAATTTCTCTCTCGTAGTGATGTCGTCCACCCATATGGACTTGCATTGTGCACAATTTTGCACTTGGCTAGTGCATGTCTCATCCGACCCTCAGCTGCTTTACTTGCAATCGTTTGCATTATTCCTCTTCCGTGAATGGTTCTTTCGAAGGCACCCTATTTGATACAATTTACTTGCAATCGTTCGCATTATTCCTCTTCCGTGAATGGTTCTTTCAAAGGCACCCTACTTGATACAACTTCTGATTATCTATTGCCTAATTCAAAATTCCAAACTCTTGACAAGTGAGCTTGCTTCTTGCTTTACTTAAAGACTCATCTTGAAAGAGTTTGGTTTCGAGCCACAAAGTTAATCTTGATTTTGACTTGCCACTGTCCCGTCCAATTTGGCCCTCATGACATACTTGCAAAGTCTTTATTCAACCCTCGGGTTCGTTTTCTTAATTGTCTTGTTTGACATAAACACGCAAAGCGTGGCTCTGATACCAATTGTCAAAATCGTACATTTTCAACCTTGCAGCATCATGATCTTCATGCGCTCATGACAAGCCTCAAGGAAAATTCAAGCCTCATTCACATTTTTCACCCGTCTTTGTAGCTTCGTCAGACCTTTGGCAAGATTCTCCTATGCCAATTGAACACAACTCGTGTAAAATTAACTGTTTGCGACTCTAGCAGCTGAACATGACTTGGCCTCAGCTGCAACTCTAGCCAACTTGCCTCTACACTAGGTCAAGTCATCCACCTCGACCTTACCTCTACACTAGACCAAAGTATCTTATAATGGAACGTCGCATCTCATCATCATCTTGGTTCACAACAACACAACTCATACATCGTGATGTCATCCCATGACTTGGGACAACTTGACCATCTTGGCTTGTTCAAACATATCTACTAGAACCGACACATGTGTCGCTTATCTCATTGGAACATTTCGAACATCCATCCATCTGAATTCTCATTGGGACATGAATCCTCTAATGATCGTGTCATATCATTTACAAACTCCGTACTAGATAGTTGGTGCATGGACCAACCTCTGACACATGGGCTGAGGTGCAATATTGACACACCCATGTTGTCTGACATTGTACTTGCAAGACCCACTCCAAATAAAAAGGCTTGAGATGCTCGTCTCAATGATTTCCCATATTGTGACGCACGTACATTCCACAAGGTAGTTCACTTAGGCCACAGAGCTCATAGGTGGTGGAGTACTTACACCATACCTTCTCCTATACTACATTTTAAGGCATTTCTAACCAAAGTTTCGGTTGATTAGATTCGTAACCCAACCCAACCTAAAAATTTTTACAATCCAACCCAACCCGAAATTTTCGAGATGGGTTCAGGCTGTTCCAAATTTTGTGAATCAGCTGCAAGATTATTATGACCTACAAGTTTAATTTGTTATCACCTATAAAACTTTTAGTGGTTCACTAGATTCAAAACTCCTTTGAACTAAAAGTTGTGATACTGTTACCTAAAACAACTGCCAACCCTCTATCAAGTGGATATTATCACCTATTTTCAGTGAGGTCAGATAAATATCAATCCACACCCTTCTCTTAACTCCAATGAATTTGTCTCTTCTCTTCTTTGTTTGTATCATGATAGTATTAATATTAAACCACTCAAATTTACTTCATCAATTGTGTCCATACTCATGGAATTAGAAGTGACTCTTGATTTAGATTGGTGATGATGTTGGGCATTACCCTAAAATTTGTAGAAATAATACAAATGAATCAAATAATTCTTTGTCATCCACCATCACTCTAACCATGACATCATCATAAAAATTTCGAAAAGTAAAATGATATGTAATTCAATTTGTAACGAGGATCGAGTACCTCAATTATGAATATCAACTTATTAATTTTGTCAACTGAGTCGCAATATTTGTCATACTTAATTTTCATATTTGAACTCATTGTACTTGAACAAGTATTCATATTTGTACTCTAACCCGAAAGTTCATAAAAATAAAAATTAGAAGTTACATGTAAACAACCTCTTGTCATTATAGTGACATCATAGAAGCCCTTAAAAACACTGCAAACACTTTTTCAATCATTAATTGTTAGTGAACCTATTATTTTATTTCTATGAACCCCTTATTTGAAATACTCAACATAATCTAATTCTTCTTCTTGTAACACTTTAAGATTTTTTTCAAATTTTAAGACATGATCAAACATTAAATAAGTGAAATTCCATCTAATTGCCACATCTAAACAAAATGCTTTACATTCAATTTTTTCTTGTTCAACACGATTTTTAAATTTTGTTAATCTCTTGGGGATGATCAAACATAACTCACATGACAAAAACTAGAAATGTAGTCATGTATTTCTTTAAGCCCTCATTCACAATCAAATTAATTAGGTGGGCACAACACCTAATGTGTAATATTGCTCCATTTAAGACAAATGAATTCTAACTTCTAAGCCTTCTTATAATATACAAAATATCTATATCATTGGAACTTGCATTATATCAACTATAATATAGAAAACTTTATCGATACCCCATTCCAATAGACAACTCACAATAATCTTGTCAATCGTCTCTCCCCTATAGTTAGCAACTTGACAAAATTGAGAATTCTTTTAAACAAATTTCATTCGGAATCAATAAAGTGTGCAGTGACTACCATGTAGTTAATGTTTTGCAACGAATTCCAGGT